AATGAGAATTTATCCTTGACGGCATAGGTTTTCGTTGAATAATTCAAGGTTGGGTTTCTTCATATCACATCTAATTTTTAAAATTACTCCAAGAAAGAAGATATCCATTCACATTTTATAGTTTTTCAATCCAAAGCCAATCATATTCATCTTTAATTCATCATTATAAAATGACCAATGGGCTCTTGCTTGGGCAGTCTGCTCTTTGGTTCCCAAGCTAAAGGTTATAGGTTTGTGCTGTTGCTCGGGTGGTATGCTTCTTTAAATTGCATGTACGGGGGTAGCATTTTTTCTAGTTTTCTGCTTGGAGTTAATGTGTATGTAACTAGCTTTGTGTCCAACTTATCATAAATAAAATAAATTGAATAGATTTCTCGTCTTTTAGAGAAAAAAATCATAGTAAAGTAAGTGTGAAGTTTAATTAATATTTAAGTGTACATTGATAAATGTAGAATACTGACAAGTAAAATTAACCTTAACATACAAGATGACACAAATAAACATTGAACCTAATCCAAACAAAATTAGCAGGGGGTTTTCCACTAGAGGAAAACCATCGTATGAAATAGTATACACTAATGCTTTAACAATACACCTACAGCTCTAGGCAGTGCTGACAATATCTTCAGTATAAATTAACACATTTATAAAACTTTTCAAGATCCACACATCTTTTTTTTCCATCTTGGGAAAAAAATCACCCTCAAGTTTCTAGGAGAATTTGAGTGTCCATTTTGGATTGATCCTAAGTATTTTCATGGACTTTATTTTTGCAGCTAATTTTACAAAGATGAAATTGTTCCTCAACGATTCTTCTTGATTTGATGACTATTTTACTTTTGATGAAAAGACTTTTAAATTTTATATAATGTTAATATTCATATTTCAAATTGAGATCTTCATGATTTTTAATGGTCATCTTTTCCATGAGTAAAACCATTTAATCTATATTTTTAAACAATAATAATTTCTTCACAAGATGATCCATCTCAATCTCAACTTTAAAATTCTCTTTATTTTGCTTTCATAGATGTTTCTAGTTGAAGCGTATTTTCTCCATGAAACTTCTCTTCTATTTTCTTTTAAAAAGGTTCTTCCTTAAAGACCTTTCTTCATTTAATATGTGATTTCCTTTATTGATGACACTATGCAATCCTTACTAGCTAGCAATATTCATCTTGAAATAATGTAATCATTCGATGATCCATAGACTTATTTAAGCAAAATAAGTGAAAATTAATTGGTTGTTTGTTTTGTTGAAAAAGATTGCAGAGTTAAAGAAATAGTGTAAAAGGAATATAATGAATATTATTTGTTTTGGAGTATTTTCGATGAGTGTATTGTAAATATAGATAACTATTTTTTTGTTTGATTTGAAGTAAATAAATATAGTATAAAGCCTAACAATGACAATGATTGATGGCTTATAGTGGCAGCAAGCACAATAGCCTGTGGCAGGAGAATGACGATGGCAGTAAGAAGTGACTAAGGATGGGTGGTTGGTAATGGGCTGCTGTCGGGTGGAGGCCGGCGGCTGCGGGCACAATGATAATTGCAAACTATTTACAATGTATTTAAAACTTAGCCAAGCCTAATGATTTCCAAATACCCTTGGGGGATGTTTGTTTGGCTGAAAAAGGAATGTTGTGTAAAAGAGATGCAATGCAAAAAGAAAATGTAGTGTATTTTAAATGCTTTGGAGTTGTTTGAATGAGTGTAAAATAAATGCAAGTTTATTTTTTTTTATTTGGGTTGAAGCAAAATGAATACATTATAAACTCCAAAGATAGTGGTGGTTAGTGGCGGGTTAGTGGGGGCTGATAATGGGCGGCCGGCGGTGGCAAGTGGTTGCTAGTGGTGGGCGGCAGCCGGAGTTGGAGATGTGACTGGTGGTAGTGGGTGGCGGTGGGTAGCTGAAGGTAGGTATCAGCGGAGGCCGATAGTGGGTGGCTAGGGGCGATGGTGGCCAAAGGTGGGCAGTGGCTAGCAGCAACGTTGGTGGTGGGCGGGCAGTGGGTGGTGTGTTGACTTATGTATAATATCCAAAAGAGATGAAAACGAAATGCATACCTGTACTCTGCCGCGAATCCCTGAAATCCCGCTTAATACCTCGACACATCCAAATACCTGAGCGAATCCTCCAGAAATTCCGCTCAAATCCCGTTGAATCACTGCGCATTCGGCGCCGTTCCGCAATTTTTAATTAACTATAGGGGCTTGCGCCTATAGGAAACCAGAACTCAGATCATAAAGTCCTCACAAAATGAGGGCGAAATCTCTGGGTAGTGTCTTATCTACAAACCCATCTGCCTTCCAAAATTTACCCCGGAACTTATTCCGTTAAAACTCCCCCTCACCGAAGAAAAAAAGAAAAGTGCAGCGGGGAGGCCGGGGCCGAATTTTCGGAGCCCACATGGTGGCAATGACAATGAATTTATGGTGTATTTGAAAATCTCACCCAAATCTGAGGAAACACCAAATTGAACTATTAGGTGAATTATAAATGCAACTGAGAGTACGACTAGTTCAACTCATTTGGTAGAATTTTACATAGATTTGTTAAGAAGTTTACTTCAAAATTTTTGAATGAAATCCTTTCTCTTTTAACCTCCCCTTTGGCCGAGTTGGCTGCAGCAAAGGATCTGAAAATGCTCTTGAACTTAGTCAGCTTGGTGCCAAAAGCATTAAAGACAATTTGCTAGGCTGACAATTGAAAAAGGGGAGATGTGACTTAATCTTTAAGAGAATATTTCTAGGACATTCATAGTGCTATTTTTGTTATTCCCAAAGATCTTCTTAAAGTGGCGCTCTAAAGAGTGGAGTTGTCTACTGAAGTTGGCCAATTGAGTCTTCAATGGCCATTGTAAAGGATGTGAATTAACAGAAAAGTCTGACTTCAACAAACATGAATTGACTCCATATTAAACAGAAAAGTCTGACTTTACCCCATATTAAACATAAACTGAGCTTGTTATCGTGCTTGTTCATGAGTTTTAAATGATGTTGTTCATGCATATAAATGAATTGAACACAGTTCAAATTAACTTGTTTATTTAATCAGTTAGTATTAAAAAAAATGTTCTAATTTGTTTAATTACTTAATTAAATGATCACGAATGAGCTATAATCGAGCTAAGTCATGAGTGGCTTGTCGAATGCTCGGTTCATTTGCAATTTTATTCAAAAATAGTGAACCTTATTCTTCCTATACTAATTTCACAAAAAAAAGAAAACTTATTTAGAATTTAAATTTCAAAATAAAACTTATCCAAAGTAAATTTAAAATCAAAATTTATTTTTTATTTTTCAATTCTTATTGTGTTCCATTGATTCAATTTTTTTTTTGTCTCAATCATTGATCACGATGCATATAATCGACAAACCATCTTTATTTATGGACTCATGTTGACTTGATCTTCAATCTCAATGGTATAATTTGAGAATCACCACCATATGTAATCTCTGTCAAGTAATTGGATGTCTTATTATCTCAATGGTCTTAATACTTTAAATCTCATATACTGGTCATGGTTGTGTGCGAGCAAGCATGAAGTAGGTCCCTGTGAACATATTTAAGGTATTTAAGCCCTGCTTTGTGGTTCAGATTGCTTGTTCCCATTCATAGTTCTGCTACAGATGACACACGATGAAGATTTGATGGCGTCACCCCATTTATCCTCCTGAGGAGAAGCTTGGTTTCAAACTTCGATTCGAACAGGAGTACGTCATGCTAATGTGCCTTGGATGATCCACATCTCCAGGTCCGGTTCATCAGACATTGTCAAAGCTATAGCGTGAGAGTCCACCAAGTGAAAGAGCTCGCATCTGGCCATCTCCTTGGCTGCTAGATTATGCGGTGGCGTAGTAAGAACCAGACTGTAGTTACTCGATGCAGCATTGAGGCTGAATATCGGGCGTTGGTTGATACCACTTTGATATCGGAGCTTGTAATAAAAATGGTGAAGATGAGTTTCAGGATTATTTCCTGGTAACTTCACAAAGCACATGTATTGACTTACTAATAGATCTAAGGTGTGAAGCCCGCTCTTCTAGCCAAAATGAATTCAGACTTGAAGATTGTAGGTTCAAATCCTGTTCTCGTCCCCTTCATTCTATGGCCTATGCTGATCGGGGCCAGCTTTTTGGGAAGCCTGTTCCCACCGCGCTCACGGCCCAGCTGGCCTACCAGCCTTGAATAAGAAGATTGTATTGAGTCTAACAAGAATGATGTAGGAAAGAATTGCACGCGAAGCGGATTGGAAGACCTTGCCCTTGATCTCGCTGTTGCCACCTAAACAGTAGGTCAGCTAGCATGTGTGACGTTAAGAGATTGAATACTAGGAAAGATCATTTGGGGATAAAAGTCTGTTGGGGGGAAATTTCATAAGAGGAGAAAGTAGAAATTGCATATTGCTTATTCGATGTGGTACATATCTATACAATATTACAGAGACGAGCTGGCTATACTCTTATCGAAATTGCGTACGGGAGCCTACAATGACTTCAAAGCTAAAACACATGAAGTTAGGTAGTGATTATGAATCTTCTAGTCAGTTATCTACAGCAATGGAAGTTGATTTGGCGCCATGCACCGGCCCCATTCACTTGTAACTCGTAGAGGCTGTAAGTACATAGTGCACCCTGATGCCCGAATTTTGAGGGAAGATTTTTTCTGTAACCTTCTTTGAAGTGGATGGTCAGATTGATCATCCCCTTCTTGATCTAATTCCAATCATTTAATATAGAATTATCTTTTTGTAGGTAAGAAATATTTTATCCATGTCAAGTTTGTACTGATTATTTGTATCCTTTATTTGAGTTTCTGTGAGTTAAAATTTGAAGATACATTTGGAATGTCATCTTTCCATTTTACTTCATTTGTAAATTAGTAAAACTTCTTTTTTTACTAACTTGCTTCTTATATGACTGTTAACTAGAAACATTTTTTTACTTATCAATCCTAATGCAAGTGACAAAGGTATCTTCTTTTGCATGATTAGGCATTTGGGCTGGAATGCATACTGTGAGGTACTTTGATGGCAGAACATATGAATGGGTTGGTATTAACCGCCAGCCAAATATCATTGGTAAGGTATGCTTTATTAGTTCTGTCATTTATGAAAGCTTTTCAAATGAGTTCTTTGTTATATTCTTATGAAACTGGCAATGAACTTAAATTTCGTTTTCAAATCACTTTTTACTAATAATGCAAGATGATGAAGCAGAATCCTCATCTGTTGCGTAAGAGTCTTACTTTGCTTCATATAATAGCATTCCCCAAAGTCATGTTGAGGAATCAAGTGGACATTCTGTTCAACTCAAGGCTTGTATCTATGATACAATTTGCTGTTGACCTGTATCTGAGTTAAAATAATAATAATAATATATTTCGTACCTGTCCGCCAAACCTTCGCACGTTGTCACCACCTCTCGCATGTCGCTCGCACACCGACATTGCTTCTCCTCATGACCGTCTTGTGTCGTTTAAAGGGGGAAGAAATGAGGTCTTCGGCCTCCCTAACTCTCCCTCACTCTCCCCGCTCTCTTCACTCTTCCTCTCACACTCTTCTTCGGCATCCTTCGTCGATGTTTGACTTTGTCCCTTCGATGACGTTCCCTTCAAGTTGGATCGGAAGTTACTGCATATTGATCGTAAGCAACAGTGGGAACCGCTTGCTGTGAAGGTAATTTTCTTCCCTGTCGCACGCTTCTGCGGCCAGCTCCCATAAGCAACAAACAGAGGGAAAGGGAGGATTTATTATTATTATTATTATTATTATTTGATTATAAGTAACTAATTAATTATAATTGATTGATTGATTTATTTGATTATAATTAATTATTAGTTATAGTTAATTATAATTATTTATAGTTAAACATTATTAATTATTTTTTATCATTGATTAATTATAATTAATAATATTAAAAAAAGAAGCAAAAGCAAAAAGAAAGGGTACTTCCCTTGCCTAGATCCATGTGTCAACACCACCTCGTCGGTTGCTAACGTATACCCTCCTGAACTCAAAACCCCGCATTCGACGTTCGTGTCGAGCCGGAAAATCACTCATTCACGCTTTTCTCTAACGTGGTAGGAAGGGAATCCGGTGCGACACCTTCAGCGAGGAAGGTAGGCCATATACACACTCTTTGTAGCATGGTGGGGATAATCTTAAGTACCCGTACGCGGCTCTATACTTGCGAAGAAACAACTGTGCTTTTTTGAAACAGGTACCGAAGACCCATACACAACTTTCTCTGGCGTGGTGGGATTGAAAATTTTACAACAATGGCGTCTGAGGACACCTACCATACACGCTTTTCTTAGCATGGTGGGAAGACTCAGTTTCCTGTAGTTTCTCCTAAACGGGGGAGACGTCGGGAGGTTGCCAGAATTCCGTCTGAAAATATACAATGACTTGGAATAACATGGGACCTTAATGAATAACAAAATTAAATCAAATGGAACTCAAATCCAAATGAATTGAAACTCGAGAGAATGATGATGAACAATAAATAACCTAAACTCAATTGAACTACAACAGGCTTGAATTTCTAAAGACTTCAAAAGACTTTGAACAAGAACTTAAACTTGGATAAGGACTTAATGTAACTTATTTCTATAAATTTAATTAATGTAACACATCAAAAAAAGATTCGATCACCTGCAAATTTCTCGTTATTCGCTTGTCTTGATTTATGTGTTGTCGCCTCACATGCGGATAAATTTTGTCTTTTCACTTGTGCTTCAACCTATGCAATATGGGTGTTTATCTAAGGGTTTTCGATGTTTTGAACACATCGTCTAAACCTGTTTCTATAACATGCGACGTTTAGGCGATTTAATGGGTTGTTGTTCTCGTGGTTGGCTAATCGAATCTTCCACAAATGGTTCTTCATTAGTAAATTTGATGTTCTGAACGTAGCTGTGCATTTTGTTTCATTAACGGGTGACATTTGAGTGCTTTCAAATTTGATCAAGGTGCTTTGAGCTTGCTATGTGCGACGTCGCTTCAATTGGTTTTCCTTCACATCTCAATCGCTAGAATTGCGCAGCACATTTGGATGTCAAAAACAAACAACTTACGTGGTTCAGCTTGAAATGGCTTATATATGCTCTAGTGGGGCACGGGAGATTGGCTTTCCAGTAGTAAATGACGTAATATAGAGCTTCCTCTTCTCTTTTCCTCCCTATAGTCATGTTATTTCTCATATCAATACATATGAGCATTCAAAGTTATGTACGTTTTAGCATTAATAAAATTCTACTTTGAATGTTAAGGTTCTTATTTTCTATTCCCGATTGCACCTGAAATCATTGTGGAGAGGTTCACTTATTGTTGGGTTATGTTAACTAAAATGATGGGTTATGTTAACTTCTTCTTACCATAATTCAAATACTTTGAGAAATATTTTTCACCACATATTCAAAATGACCTTTGTATTTTTTTCGGTTTATGTACATATAGGTGAAAAGGACATTGGAGCAGTTTACTCCTGCTCACTGGGACAAAGATGAGTGGCATCCTATGCTTGGTCCTCTGAGGTTTGTTCAGGTTCTGAGCCTTTGCGTTGTGTTCATGACTGTGGAGCTCAACACTTTCTTTCTCAAGTTCTGCCTATGGATTCCACCCAGAAATCCTCTAGTAGTTTACAGGCTTATCCTTTGGTGGTTGATTGCAATACCTACCATTCGTGAATACAACAACTATTTGCAAGACAGGTCCATTCTCCTGCTTTCACTCCTTTTCTCCTCATCTAATAAATAATAAACCACTATGCTTAGGATACGGAGAAACATTATTATAATTTACATATTCTGAACTAAATGGTACATCAAGAGGGGGTGAATTGATATTTTAAAAATTTTCTTCTTCAAAAATCTCTTTTTGAAAATTACAATCAAATTCAAGACTTAAGTTCAAAATCAGATATTGTGATGTGGAAACTAATAATATGAATTTTGTACCCATTTCAACTGAAATTTCTCTATTTTAATGATGATTTTAGAAAACCAGTGAAAAAGGTAGGAGTATTCTGTTGGCTTTCCCTCGCAATTTGCATATTAGAGCTTCTTATCTGCATCAAGTTTGGCCATGGTGAGCTAAAACTCTCATTGTTCTTTTCACTTTTTTTTTTTATCCATCATGAACTACTTTGATTGCTTGATTTGATCTCTACTGTAGGTCTTTTCCCCCAACCGATGCCTCCCTGGTTGATAATTTTCTGGTCATCTGTGGGCTTTGCACTGCTCATCTTCTTATTATTTTGGACTTGTCAGATTCATAAAAGTATGCAGAGAAAGAAGCAATAACAACAGCTCCTCAATGTTTTTTTTTTTCCTTGTTTTATGTGATTTTTTTGTATATATTAACACTTTCTTGGTGATAAATGCTCCACGTCGCCAAAGCTTTAAAGCAGCATGCGTTAGAGTTTGCTGCTTCCACATTTTTTTTCCAACCATTTTTCTACTTTTCTAATAACCTTACGTTCAGGAAAAATAACATTGTTTCATTTGTTTTACTTTGTTACAAAACCACATTCTACGTGTTTTGTTACCCGATTATCTTGATTTTTGTAATTGTTTTTGTACAAGAGGAAACATCAAGTATAAATTTGTGGGGAATTAGGGGAGATCTAACTCAAATCATCTAAAAATAAAACGTGTTTAGATGTTCAATTTCAGCTGGAGCCGAGCTTTTAGATTTATATTCTTAAGAATTTTTTGTCATTAAGCTTGTTACGAGATTAAAACATACTTATTACATTACTTAAAAGAAAAATTAAAAGAACTTGATTGAAATCTTTTAAGAAAGAAAGCTCCTCTATCCAACGGCCATCATTGACAACATACATGTTCCTCATAGAATCTTGATGATATTATAGTTGTCCCCTTCAATGTAATCTCTTTGTATTGAAACATCCAATTTTACATAATTCAGCCCAAGGATTGAATTGCTAAAAGTTTCAATTGAGATGTTTCTCAATGTAAACAACTAAATTTAAATGCTAAAAAAAATCTCTCATTATAGTCTTGGAAAACTTCACCAATCTTAGTTTTATTCGAAGATAATAAATATGCATCAAAATTAACCTTAATCAAATTGGGAGGAGGGTGTCGATGATTATACAATAGCTAAGAAGGCTTATTAACACCCCAGCGACCTGAATAAGAATTAGCATAAAAAATAGAAGCATAACTAATAGACTTAATTAATATGACAAGAGTGATATCTTTGTAACCGCCATGAATAAATTTATTTTAGCTTTCCAAGATAAATAAATCGCTGAACAGTATAAGTTAGCTAAAAAAAGGATTTTTTAAAGCAAGACTTTCCAACCCTATGCAACATTCATCATATGAAACGAAAGGAATATGAAAACCCCAATTATTTAAGCATTGAATCATCATAAGTTTTAAACACTTTATTGCCACATGTTCAAAGTCCTCTACTGCACTGTAGCCTCTAAGACAAGAATTTACATCTTGTAATATTCTGTACATTAGAAATTGGAATGAAGGAATTGTATCATGGAATACACACCAACAGAAGACTTCCACCTATGGATTGAGCTTTATTCTCTTAGTCCATTTCCAATAATAAGTATATGTTTGCTCATGAACCGTAGCCTCAAATGCCAATGCAGAAATTGCTTTCCCAGTGTTTTGATATATAAGTTCAAACTGATCATTATCTAATTCAGGATAAATTCATATTTAACAATTCAGATAAACCAATTGTTCACCAAAAAACTATTGAAGTTCAGCCTCATTTCATTATCCATCCAATATGAATTTATTTATTGTAGTATCACTGTTATCATCAACAACAATAAAAGTAGGTCATTTATTAAAGCTCCTATCTAGTACCCAAATGTCCTTGAATACATTAATAGAATTCCCTATCAAAATCTTCCATCTTATAATGGGAGCAAGAGATTTAGCATCATCAGTTATAATTTACCATGAAGAAGATGATCCATTCTTCAATTCATAATTCCGACTACTTGACCCATATTTAGAATCCATAATTCTATAAAGAAACTAATCTAAATTCTTTAAAAATTTCCATGCCAATATAGCTCTTAAAAGTCCTACTTTGCTTACACATGAATGAAGATCACGACCTCCAAATTTTTTTGGCTTACAAAGAACACCCCAAGCTACATAATGAAGGCCATCCTTCTCATCTTGCTTATGCCAAATGAAATTTCTGCACATCTTATATAAGTCATTAAAAACTCCTTTTGGAACTAGAGAATGAGTAGATTAAACAGTAGGAAATGAAAGAATTATGGATTTAAGTAGAATAATCCTTCAAGGTAAGGAAATTAATTTATTCCCCCAAGCATTTAATTTTCCCAACGATTTGTCTAATATGTTCTGAAAATTAGTACCACAAGCCTTATCAAAACAATTTTCACACCAAGATAATTCATCACTTTAATAGGTTTAAAACCCATAATTCAAGAAATACTTTTTTCTTCCTCCTTTTAAGTGATTTGCCAAAAAGAATAGGGGATTTTTTAGAATTAAATTTTTGAGCAGACCAATTATAAAAATCCATCATAATACTCTTAATTTCCTTCACTGCATTGATATTTGCTTCAGAAAAAATTAGAATATTATCTGCTCATAACAAATGAGATATTCTTGGAGCATTTGGACAAATTTTAATACCAATAGAATAACCTTTTTTAATAAAAGCATTTGATAACAATTAAGAGCATAAAATAAATAAGAACGGGATAATGGAAACCTTGTTGGAATCCACTTCTTGCTTTTATCCAGTAGAAAGAATTACCATTAACCAAAATAGAAAATTTGGGATCTTCATCATATTCCATAATAAGACTTGAACATTTGAAAGAAAAACCAAAATAATCCAAAATGTGCTTAATGTGGACCACCCCATACTGTCATAAGCATGTTCCATATCAATTTTGAAAGAAACTAAACCTTTCGTAGATTTAGAAAATTTGAATTTATGGAACACTTTTAGTGCTATTAAAACTTTCTTGGTGATAAATGTTCCACGTCGCCAAAGCTTTAAAGCATCATGGTAGTTAGGGCAAATTATTCTGTGCGGAGTTCGCACACAAGCTTACGTTCGGATTTGCTGTGTTTTTACTGCGTTTTTTTTTTTTTTTTTTTTTAAAAGACGGCTAATATACAATTTTAATTGTGTATTAACTTGTCCTTTTTCAAAAATACAGTAAAAGCGCAGCAGCTAATACACAATTAAAATGGTATATCAGCTTTCTTTTGCAAAAATACAACAAAAGCACAACAAATCCGAATGTAAGCTTGCATGCGGTCTCCGCACAGAATAATATGCCGGTAGTTAGAGTGCCTGGTAAGGTTAGAGTTTGCTGCTTCCACATTTTTTTTCCAACCTTTTTTTCTACTTAGCAATGCTTGGTTCTGTTTCTAATAACCTTACGTTCAGGAAAAAATAACATTGTTTCATTTGTTTTACTTTGTTACAATTCCACATTCTGCGTGTTTGTGTACGTATGGTGTTGTGTCATCGTGATTTGTTACCTGATTCTCTTGTATTTTTTTCTACAAGAGGAAACATCAAGAATAAATTCGTTGGGAATTAGGGGAGATCTAACTCAAATCATAAAAAAATAAAATAAGTTTACATGTTCAATTTCAGCTGGAGCTAGCCGAGCTTTTATATTTATATTCATAAGATTTTTTTTGTCATTGAGGTTGTTGCGTGAGATTAAAACTTATTACTGAAATAGAGAATATTGTATCAAATTAATATGCAGATTAATTAATTTGGAAGATTAAAAAGCCCAAAAGTGCACAGATAGTTAATTGAATAAGAAATATTTCTTGAGAAATAGGCTTGCAATAGCTCATCGGTTCTATGATTGAAGGCTCTTATCAGTCCCTCTTTTAAACATTTTACCTTCGAAGACTACGACGTTGCGTTTATAGTTTTGTTTTTTATTTTTTGAAAATGCAATTGCAATTAAACTAAAAAAAAAACAATACTATTACATTCATGCTTTAACAGACTAAGAAAAATAGAAGGAATATTATTCCCACTAATAGCATTAAAAAAAATACTAGTAAGAGCAAAGGTAGCACATAAATTAGTTAATTTATTACATTTCCTAAAAGAAAAATTAATAAGAATTTGATTGAAACCTTTTAAGAAAGAAAGCTCCTCCACCCAGTGGCCAATGGCCACCATTGACAACATCCATCTTCCTCATAGAATCTTGAAGAAATTTGATGATATTATAATTGTCCCTTTCAATGATAATGCCTTTTTATTGAAACATCCAATCTTGCATAATTCGGCCTAGGAATGAATTACTAAAAAATTAAATTGGTAAACATCACAATGTAAACAACTAAATCTAAGTGCTAACAAAAATCCCCCTTTATAGTCTCGGAAAATTCCAATCCCAGTTTTATTCGAAAAAAATAAAGATGCATCAACATTAACTTTAATCCAATCGGGAAGAGGGTGTCAATAGTTATACAATAGATGAAAAGGCCGATTAACACCCTGGTGAGCCAAATAGTAATTACATAAAAAATAGAAGCATAACTAATAGAATTAGCTAATATGACAAGAGTGCTATCATCAAAATCACCATGAATAAATTTATTTTAGCTTTCCAACATAAATAAACCGTTGAACAATATAAGTTAGCTAGAAAAGGATTTTTTGAAAGCAAGACTTTCCAACCCTATACAACATTCATCATATGAAACAAAAGAAGGAATATGAAAACCCCAATTATTTAAGCATTAAATCACCTAAATAAGCTTTAAACACTTTATTGCCACATGTTCAAAGTCCTCTACTGCACTGCAACCTCTAGGACAAGAATTTACATCTTTTAATCTTCTATCATTAGAAATTGGAATGAAGGAATTGCATAATAAAATACACGCCACTAGAAGACTTCCATCTATGGATTGAGCTTTATTCTCTTAATCCATTTCCAATAATAAGTATATGTTTGCTCATGAACTGTAGCCTCAAATGCCAATGCAGAAATTGCTTTCCCAGTGTTTTGATATAACAATTCAAACTGATCATTACCTAATTCTGAATAAATTAGTATTTAATAAATCTGATAAGCCCATTGTTCACCAAAACACTTTTGAAGTTCAGCCTCATTTCATTCTCCATCCAATATGAATTTATCTATTGTAGTATCGTTGTTATCATGAACAACAATAAAAGTAGGCCATTTATTAAAGCTCATATCCAGTACCCAAATGTCCTTGAATACATTAATATAATTTCCTATCGAAATCTTCTATCTTATAATGGGAGCAAGAGATTTAGCACCATCATCTACAATTTTCCATGAAGAAGAAGAACCATTCGCCAATTCATAATTCTAACTACATGACCCATATTTATCATCCATAATTCTATAAAGAAGCAAA